ATACGTAAATGTATTTTACCTCCTCTATAAAAAAAACACACACACACACACCGTCGTACGGACATCATCGTAAAAATAGTCAGGGAAGCTTCCTGTGACCTTCAAACGTCGAGATTTGATGAAAACTCGATTTTTGTAAAACGGGGTGAAAACAATAACTTCCCGATTTTTGAAAATCTGAGATTTTTAGCGGGAAGTTAAAAAATTAGGAAAACGGTTGACCCTAAAGGCCATCCCTGCAACTTCTCGCTAATTCCATACTTAAGCGCTCACAATTGCACTTATGACGTTTTTCAGCTCTTCGAGCTGATTGAATTGAGTGAACTAAAAATTTCGGAGTAATTTAAAAAAAATACTTTTTTCGGTTTTCTTTCGACAACGATTACTCACTAATGAATCAACCGATTTTGACCAGATTGGCGGCAATCGACGTGGTTTTTTGAGGTTAAGAGCTGATTAGTTTTTGAAAATTACACACACACACATACACACGCGCGCGCGCGCGTATACAGACGTATTAACATCATCGCGGAAACATTCGGGGAAGCTTCCGAGGACCTCAAAACGCCAACATTCGTTGGAAACTCGATTTTCGAAAAACGGGGTAAAGCCAAAAACTTCCCTACTGTTGAAAATTTTAAATTTTCTTAGCGGGAAGTTAAAAATAACGAAAACATATTTTAAATATTCGATAAATAAACAATGTTAAAACGGTTGTGAGTGCAAAACAATTTCTCTTTCTATATTATCGATGTAGTCAAAACTAAATATTATTCTCGTTATTATTTAGAACTTGCTATTAAGACAAATTTTGGAACATTGCCAAGTTATTGTTTTCATACCAATTTTTTGATGCCTGTATGTCTTTATGCGTGTGCGCGCGTGTATGTGTGTGTCGCTGAAAAGTATTTTTTCTAAATAATTTCTAAAAGTTTAGTCAGATCGAATTTTAGTAATAAAGCAAGCTGTAATCGAAAAAATGTGCCGACTAACGAAAACCTAATTAAAATAAGTTGATTTATTCAAAAGGTATTGCAATTCAAAAGTCAAAAAAATTTCGTCTTTTTTAATTAACTTCTATTAAACAAAGAGAAAAATTTTTTATAAAAGAAACTCCCTACACGATAGGATGTCTTTACAATTCATAAAATTTAGAATCGTTTGATGCCTATATTGAAGGAACGAATTTTTAATTGTTAACTAATTATTGGTTTTAAGAAATAGATAAATTTTTTATAAAAAAAGTTTCCTACACGATAGGATATCTTGACGATTCATAGAATTTGGAATCATTGGAAACAAATATTGTGAGTACTTTTTTTTTTTTGTTCATCAACAAATTTTTTAAACAAATGGCAAAAATTGTTAAAAAAAGTATTTCACACGATAGGTTATTTTTACGATTCATGGAATTTGGAATCGATTGATACCTATATTGTGGGATCGATTTTTAAAAAGTTAATTTAGACTTAGAAAAAATTACAAGAAAGATGAAAAACCAAAGTACTCAGAGTATCGGCGCGGCCGCTTACTATTGTTATTATATGCCTTACATTATCATTATTTCTCCCACTATTCTCCGACAACGGGTTGAGAGGAATGGCGCACGCGCACTT